GCGCGCGCGCCACTGTCCTACGTGTACAAGTGCGTGCCTTCGAGTACGTGTGCGTGCGTGTGTATGTGTGTATACGTCCGTGTGTGTATTCTACGAGCGCCAGCGCACGTGCACGAAAAGAAAAGAACAGAGGGATCGAGAAGGGGAAAAAAGTTTTTATTTCGAACGAAGACAAAGAAAGAAAGAAAGCAAAAAAAGAGAAAAAAATAATAATAATAATAAAGAAAAAAAAAAAGAAGAAAAAAAAAACGGTTCACTACCGGAGACTGGTGCGACTTATAATCCGTTATAACAAATAAACACGTTCTATAATAAATAATACTACTACGTATGCCACGTAAGGAGACGCGTAACACACGTGTGCGTGTAGATACGTGTCGCGTACGTATATATGTGTATATATATATATATATATATATATATACGGGCGCGCATATTATATTAAATTTACAAGTAATTACACGTACACGATTATCCGCGCGTCGACAATCCTCGAAGCGTCCACGCTTGATGAAAAAAAAAAAAAAGAAAAGAAAAAGAAAAAAAAAAAGAAGAAGAAGGAGAAGAACGATCGATCCTCCGCCTCCGTCGCGAGCCAGGAAGAGGATCGATCGAGGGACGAAATCCATAGCGTAGCATCCATAGCGTAGGACGTGGACGTGGTCGACTCGACTGGTTCGACGGGCGGAAAAGGGGCAACTTATTTCGACGCGAGTCGCATCATTTCGAGGTAGAGCTGTTTTCTCGAATGTCTTTTTTATTGCCACGAACATTATGTGTGTCCGTTTCATTTTATACCACTTTTTTACCATTTATAGAAGATTCGTCGGGCGAAGCGACTTTTATATTTCCGTCACTTCTACGACCGCGGAATCCTCCCTCGGAATCGTGTAACTTCCGTTCGAAACGTCGCGGCGCGCGCGACCCCGTACGTGTTCGTGTACGTGGCTCAAATGTGGGGAGGGGGGGGAGTGAGTTTTTAGCAAGACTACAAAACCCGTAAAACTAAAAAAAAAAAAAAAACACCATCGTCAAACCATAGTAGAAATCGCGAATATGTTGTAATACGTAGAGATCTATCTCCCGGGATGGCGCATGATATATTAGATCGGGACGTAAACGATGATTTGTTTGAAACAATTTATGCGAGTTTTTCACCCCCTCGGTGAGGGGGGTGGGGCCAAGGAGCGAATCGAAATCGAGAGAATTTTCTTCTCTCGTCATTTAATTACGAATGAAACGAACGAACAGGAACGATTGAAAGAGATAAACGCTCGTCGAGCTCCATTCTGTTTTTAGCGAGCAAGGGGGAGAAAAGCAAGCTTTCGAGGGAACGATTGAAGGATGGGATGAGAAGAGGGAGGGGGGAGGAAAAGCGGAAGGGAAGGGATATACAAAAGGGAAGAGAATTCCTCGAGGAAAGAGAGAGAGAGAGAGAGAGAAAGAGGGAAAGGAAGAAAAGATCGCGAATCCTTTGAATCGTTTCTTCTCTTTTAATGATCCTTCTAAATTGTGTATGTCGCTTCGAGTTATTTCCACCGCGCGTAAACACGAGCCCCATTCGAATTCCTCCGCGTGACGTCCCCCTATCGAGGGGAGAAAGAACGAAGCGAGAAATTGCGAGAGGATTGTCGCGACGGGTATATACGCGGCGCCGCGCATAAAGCGTGCACACAGGGAGGAAACAAGCCGCGATCGCATTCATAGTCGGCGCGTGGATTAGTTTTTCGTACACACGTACACCGCGGTCCTTCCGTTGGAGAGGCCCTTCGTCTTCTCCCTGCTAGCTGTTCCGTCGGCAGTACAGCTTTTTGCCGAGTTAATTAACGCCAATTGTATGCCGTTCTACTTCCGTCTTTTGGATACTCCATACTTCGCGTTTTTCTATCCCCCCTTCTCTCTCTCTCTCTCTCTCTCACTCTCTGTACACCCTTCCCTCTTCTTCCTGTGTGCGATGGCGCGCACACACGCATATCCCATTCTCCCTTTCCTCCTTGATTCATTCCTGTTCCCTGTCTCCGTCTACCGCTGTCTGTCGCTCACCCTCCCCCATCCCTCTTTCCCTCTACTCCCTTTCGTCTGTTCCAGCGCGTGGTTGCTGGCTGCNCTATCCCTCCTCCTCCTTCTCCTCCTCCCTCGCACATTCGATCTCTCCCTCCCTCTCGACGTGCCTCTCTCTCTCTCTCTCTCTCTCTCTTGCCTTCCTCTCCCCGACCGCTCTTCTCCTCACAATCGCCAAACAATCCGTTTGCCAGACGCTCTTGCTCATTGTGCATTTAATAAGGAGCTTCTTGCTTTGGTACTCTGCGAGAATTCTTTATAAAAAAAGTAGGTAATCTTGCTCGAGGATCTCGTTGGTCGCCATCCCCCCTCGAAATATACGGAAGAAGTGGCCGAGGGATGTATTTTCGTATTTGGCCGCCCCGTTCCATCCACCCTGCCATCCACCCTGGATGTCAACACGACGAATAGTCCCTTGGATCGCGACGCCCTTATTGTCGTTACTTATCGACAACGCGTGTTGTTTATTCCGGTAGGGATAGAAAATAGGCGACGATTTTTCGATCCGATTCGTTTTCGAATCCGAAGGAGAGGGGAGGCAAAGTGAGTGGGGAAGGCAGTAGGCCTCGCATAGAACTACACGCGGGGAGGATGAAGAAAAGGGACGAATCGATACCATTTCGGAGTGATTGGAACGGGACGAAGGATTAACGTATTTCTTTAAACCCTCGTTCGTCTCTTCGTTCTGCACTGTATTTATGATGATAATTGTAAGTATATCGACGATACTTCCACGTCCGCCCCACCAGGAAGAATTATTATATATATGCAATTTATATTATAATCGATATACATCTGTTTACATCTCTCGAGTCTCTCTCTATTATATCGAGAAAGGAAAGGAGGGAAAGGAACTAGCGTTTTATCGTTGTGATATACTATATGAATAGTGTCTAAATATGCATCTATCCATACGTATATATCGCGTATGCATTCATGCATACCCACGTGTTTCTATACGTATGTACGTTATATGCGTGTGCCTATTGTTTACGTTTAATCTATGAGCCGTGTGCACGAGGAACTGGCACGTCCAATGGAGGTGGCGGAGGATAAGGGGCTCTTCCGTAGCTAGCTAGCTATAATAGGTTAGTTAGGCTAAGCGAATTTATAATACGAAAAGAAGACTTCTCGGTGATGATCGTTCTGTCTTTTTCTTCGTCTTGTTCCTTCTTTTTTTTTTCTTTTCTTTTCTTTTTTTCTTTCCCTCCCTCCCCTCCCCCCCTCTTTTAATTCTTCCTACGAATGGAATAATAATAACAATCAAAGTGCTGCACATCGAGAGACAAAATTGCGTCGTAACATAGAGATGGATTTGATCTTGCTTCGTTGATCCATCTCAATCTCAATCTGTTTACGCGATATTTCCATTTCTATAAAAATTGAATTGAATTGTATAAATGTAATATATGATAGAATGAAAACGAATATATTTTCGAAAGTTCAATTTCTCGAACAGGCTATTCGAGGCGACGGATTGTTAAACTCATTCAAAATTTTTGATCGTTCAACGATTGGCAAATTTAATTCGCGACAAGATATCGAAACGTGTTACTCTTGGAATCTTTTTTCTTCTCGTTTTGAAACGCCTCGAGGCGAAAAAGTGATAGAAGATAAAATAAGTAACAATTCCTTGACCCGCGTTATCGACGAGCACACTTGTAACTCAAGCTGAAGCACGTGTTGATATATTATTGCCTTGAAAATCGCGCGCCAGTTCCTCCGAAACCGATCACGGTCAATTATTATTGTTACCATTAATTATTTTATT